TTTATGCAGCTAAAGGGTAAAGAGTGTCTTTACCCATGATGCAGGACATAAGGTAGCAGAGAAAATGCAAAGAAAGGAGCCAATATGTTCAACCTAGCTTAACTTTGTCATTCAATACTGTTCTGGCCAACACTCCAGTGTAAGAATGCATTGTCCTGTATACTTAAATGTATGCAGAATAAAAATATTGAATGGCAATCTTGTGGGATTGCTAAGATCATGCCTAACACTTTTTCTAAGAATTCTCTATTAATGTTTTCAACAAAATGCTTCACTTATCCCATACCAAGAGCATGTCAAGGTACGGTAAACTTTAAAATAGTAGTACATAGGACAGACACATGAACAGGACTGTTAGGAAAAAACAATTAAATATGAACCTGACGTCTAAATAAATGCTAATAAAATTCCACAGCATACCTGCATGTTAGGGGTCACAGAGAACAAGCTGCTGTCCAGCTGAGGGCCTTCTGGATGCAGGTAGTTCTCCCCGTCCATGGCCAGCGCTGAGGGGAGGATGGGCATCAGACCGCAGCTTCACACATGACCACCAGCTGACTTAGGCTATGCACCCTCCGACCGCTACCCACGTGCTGGCTGTGTCTGAGATTGTACTTCTAACAAAGGCAAATGCTCTCCATGACCTGAGGACAGGAGAAGACAGATATAGAGGGATGTAGAGGGGGCGGGAGAAGGGCAAAGAGACATTAGAAGAAAATTCCATCCAGAAAACATGGTGATCAATATCACATCAAAACAAGTCATTGAAGTCTAGGCGAATGCTAGACTTTGTTGTTGTATGAACCCCATGTAAGAAAAACATAAATAAGAAGTCTTAGAAATCACAATAAGTCTGCCATAGACACAAAAATGCGAACGATCTGTATGAAAATAAAGAATATCATAAAATGAGAATAAATCAATAAATTAGACAAATAATTGGTCTTCCTTTTTGAGGCAGATTGTAGTTGTCTTTGTCGCCACACAAACTGAATTCAGATCTTATTCATAATGCAGCGAGCCTATATCTGTTGATTGACAGCCCTCATTAGCTGGTTGTCATCTGACATCACTCACGTTTCACAGAGGACCAATTAAAATCATGGCAGGAGGTCCACAAGAGAGCGAACAGGTCTATTTTAAGGGATAGCGACTGATTATAAAGTTATAATATTTGACATAATATCCGGTCAGTATTATGACTGGCCTAACCTACTCCTAATTGGTGCAGATTGTTTCATTTTGTGTTTAATATGTTGAAAACCAAGGCGAAATGTTGATACACTTAAGTTGAACAGAATTCAGTTTCAAAATCATAAGCATCGGGCAGCATAGACCCCTTTCTGTCCCAAACAGCTGTCTGTCTGTGTGTCTGTGCGTGACAGTTACAGCTAATCACACACAGCAAGATGTATGTGTCCAAGATAATGACAGGTGAGACTGGCTAGACCAGACTGTCTGGACGGAGGCAGAAGGCTTCCTCCAATGACACACACACACACACACACACACATATATGTTGTTTACATTTACATTACAGATTTCCCCCTCTTCCTTCTGTCTGAATAAATTAGACAGTTTGCTATAATTGGGAAACTGACCGCAATGACCTACTTTTCTATGATATGATTTCACACAGAAACCAAATAAGTCTGAGTAAAAAGCTTGTATGTCTGCTGCCCAACACTAAGGCTTTATAACAGCACAAACTTGGAATAATGTGTATGAAGTCAGCTTTAGCACACTATCCTGGTTTAGGTGCTAGTATAGATTTGTGGGATATGTATGTGTGCATATACAAATAACTGGATTGTATGTTACTTCCAGAGTGAAAGCTTAAAGATATCCCACAAATCTCACCAGTTTCACTGCTGAATCAATCCAATCTGTCAGCCCTCCACAATGCATGTCTGTGTAACGTCAGTAACACTCCCCTGCCCCAAACTAATCAAACCTTTACCTTCCTTCCCCTCTCCCTTCCTTCATTCTTTCCTCCAGTTTGCCCCCAATCTGGAACAGGCCAGACGTGTTCGCTGGGGACAAAGCTGAGGTAATAAATCCTAATAGAGTTTATGAGGCTCTAAATAAGAGGGCCTTTGTGTGTCTGAGTGTGTGCATGTGAGTGACTGTGTGTGAGAAAGAGACAGAGACTTGACCCAACATATTCACCACTCGCACAGCCAATACACACAAAGGAGGCCATTTTATCCTCAGGCTGTCAGTGTGATACTGTCTGAATAAGGGTGAAGCAAATGTGGGGAAGCCGCAAAGAACCAACTGGCAAACTTTCTAGGCAGGAGGTCTTAGGCAAAAGGATATTAGATATTTTCTGAATATGTATGGACAGCTTCCAGCCTCTGGGGGCCAGATGAAGGCAGGGACAGAAAAGCAAGGCAGCTTGAGTGTGTATTGGGAGCCTCACGAGGCCGTCTGGTGTTGCAGAATTGTGCTCAATGCAACACCCTAAGGACGCCCCAAGCTTCGATGCATCAAAGGGTCTTGCCAGTACACATCTGGGTCAAAGGTCTTGATATATTCCAATTTCACCCAAACATGCAGGCTACAGGTGACAAAGGTCAAATGCACATTTGTATTCAATCGGAACGGTTTAATGTTTAATGAGTTCAACACGGTTCAACAATTAAGTAATGGACACCAACTACTATAAAAAAAAGTACAGAGAGGAAATAAACTAGAGCAAGAGAAAGCCTGTATGTAAGTGGGTGAGCAAGAGAGAGAAACCAAACTGAAACTTAATTTTGCTGTAATATAATTCAGTGTTATTCTGTTGAATTCTGTGGTTCACGTATGTATGAAACTATAGTTGTAGAGTCAACTCTCTGAATGATTACACCCTGGGATTATTCTGTTCTAAGTTTCCAGTATAAAAGATATAAAAGATAAGCTCAGGCATATATCAGTGCATGTGACAGCCAGAATACAAACATGCCCAATAATACAGTAGTAGTAGTAGTATACATTACTCAGCACAAGGATCATTAAGACTGACAGTTATAAACAAATGAATGAAAAAAAATGAATGTGCTCATTCCATAACCCTCTTCATCCTCAAACCCCAGCCAGCCACCATCGCATCTTCTCATTTCTCCAAAAAGATGAAATTGTAAGAATAAATGTCTTACCATAATCCCCTGCTATCCCCCGTTCACCCTACCATCTGTAGCCAAGTCCCCCACCAGTACCATGCCAGGTACTGTGACTATGCAACAGAAAAATGTCTGTCCCCTGTTCCCTAACCCCCACCCCCTCCACCGAGCCTCTGAGGATAATCGATAATGATCATTGTAAGAGTGGCCCCAGATATCTCCTTCCTGTAAGGCCTCTCATTACCAGAAAACAGCAAAACCCCCAACTACTGCTAACCCCTGCGCAGGGGAAAAGGGAGGTGATGAAGAAAAGCTATCAGTAAGGAAAAGAAGGTTGAGATAAGGGAGACAGAAAACAAAAAAGAGAAAAGAGAAAACATGCCCACAGCAGCACAAGAGACACAAGGAGTTCATTCATCAAAAAGAAAAAGAAAAACACAAGTCATTTTTATAACCCTGCTTGGTTGTTCAAAATGTGTTTACATTGTCATTATCTGGATTTATAGTGCATATGAAGACTGCTAAGCAAAATGTATATCTCTAGAGGATAAGGCCATTTCACAATACAAACACAAAACCTTTGTTATAAAGCAGTACAGAGAGAGAGGAGATGGTGGCTCTTTTGCAGTGTAATCTGTTAAATCTGTTAATTACTTCAAAGGTTACTGCTGGTTTTTGTACAACCCCCTCCCATGTGTCTCCCCCCAGCTGTCTCTCTCTCTCTCTCACTCTGTGGGTGGCCTGGTGCAAAAGCTCACTGCAACGGAGATTAGGCCATTTCATGGGCAGTAATTGTAAAATCTTTAAAAACTGAAACAAGCCCATACATTATATGCTGAACGTGCCAAAATACACACCGATTCATCTGGGCTGAAGGACTGTAAACATGGAGATTTAGTGATGTTAGAAACTGTATTTTCAGCTATGTGGCTAAATTCTAGGTCAGTTGGTTCCCTTTGGCTGCATGAGTCACTGTGCCTGTCAGCCAGACAGAGGTTAACAAGCAGCGTGCCTCTGTCACTTCAAAAACACAAGATGTGTGTTTATGTTGCTAGTTACAGCACCCAGCATTTGCTTGTCAGTATGTTAGATAGGATATAAAATGCAGCCTGTGGTAAGGAGGACTTCCTAGATGTATGCTGGTGGCCTTTATTTGGTATCGTGGCGGCCAGAGCACATGGGGATCATCCAGGGAAGTGTGACTTCCTTAAGCTACTAAGTCACGATTAACGCTCACGAGGAGAACCACCCTGCCTGTCGCGTGTGCCATAACACCCACTTACGCACACTCACATGTGGAGTGTTGATATATAACCATTTCCACACACAACTGAATCATTTCTGTATGTGTAACATGTATGTGTAATGACTACTGCACAAGAGTTAATTTACTATGTAGGCATTTAGGTTATATGAAGTCATAAAACATGTATACATTGGCTATAATGATAATATGCTTGCAGTGGCAAGTGTAGTGCTTGATGGAAAATATACTGCTGAATTTCTGCTGAGGTTAAGACAGAAGCACAATCACTGTAATTTATAGCACATTATAACTGTGTGGGGTACAACTGTGGCCTCATCACCGCTCACATGTGTTCCCTTTACTTCCAGTTACCAGTCACACTCATCTCATCGTCAAACTAAATCCTTCTTAAGGTACTGAGAACACACAGCTCTGCTTCATCTTCGTTAACCGCATTCTCAAACTCAGCTCAATGTGGCATACAGGGATGCATTTCTCAATTCCATTTTAGCAAATGCAGCTATCTACATTGGCTGCATGACAGCTTGCACTGAGTTGTGTATGAGTCTATGACTGGAAAGGCCAGGAAAAAGCAACCGCAGACTAAAAAGTACATACAGTATGGGGTTAAAAAGTAAGAGAGCTGCACTTCAATGCACAGGCATGTACAGTGAGAGTGCATTCACAGTACACAAAACTTTCTCATGTGACCGTCGTCTGCTGGCATCTATCTCCCCTGCCATAGCCTGCATCTGTCTTCGCTGCAACAAGCCGGCTGACGGCGATCATTCAATCCAATGTACAACACTCACTCATCACCAATGTGAGTCCATCAGCATCACCAGTAATCAGGTTAGAAATGATCAGGGCCCAGCTGCCCTACACCAGAGCAGCATGGGGGCCGTTAGTTGGTTATGATTGCCTAGACCGGCTGGATTCATTAGCTACTGTGATTAAATATTCATAAAAGGAACAAGTTACTTCCCAGGGAAACGCAGGGCTTCGTCATTCAAAACAGCTTACATTATTAATTAGCACCTTTTTTCGACACAAAAGGCCTATACTTACCTCTGTGTGCACACGCACATACACACACACGGCAGAAACCCTTAAGCACATACATTAGTTACCAATCTGTTCCTGGTCCCGTCCCCGCAAAACAGACATTGGCATAAAGGGGCTGTGAACAGCCCAGCGACCGGGTAGGACACTGGATAGAGAATAATGATCGAATGACTGTGTAACTGAATCTGCTGTCTTATCAAAAGCCGGGAAATGGAAACAAATTGGG